TGTGTGTGTGTGTGTGTGTGTGTGTGTGCATGCCCGCGTGTGTGTGTGCGTGCATTTGTGTGCGCGCCCGCCAGTTCCTGGGATATTTTAGTTATAGAATCCAGAGTTTAAGGGGCAAACATGCACCGTCAGAGTGGTGAGATGGTTTGGACAGGCATCAAGAGATAGTAATATATCAGACACATAATATTGCAGATGGAGTTGCTAGGAAAGAGGAGAAGGGAATACCTCAGAGGAGATATATAGCTGTTGTAAAAGAAGACATGATGATGATGAAGATGATGATGTTGTAAAAGAAGGTTGGAGTAAATGCAGAGAAAAAAAAATAGGAGGTAAATTGTGAATGTATACCCTGCCTGAAACCTTTGCACGTGATGGTATTTTTCCTACTCTTCCTATGTTTTAACCTGTTTGTCCTCCCTGATAAAGACGTTTCTGTTTGTTTTCATTGGTTTATTGTGATTTAATAGTTTATTTTAGGACAGCCTACAATCTTATTAAAAGCCTCCTTCAGTTGGCACCAACAGGCTTAGCACTCAGCCACAAAGACACGCTTTGCTTGCAAGTCCGTTTTTGAGAAGAGCATAAATTGCACATCATGGGATGGAGTAGGAGCCTTGCACTCGTTATTTGCATAATGATACTGACCCCAGATCAGTGCCAAACCTCCAAAAGTGGTTGCTGCTGATCAATTTTAGTTTATCACCATAGCTGGAAAAACCTGTACTCTGTGGGCACGTGAGATTTGATATGAGAGAAAGAACTTACTGCTGTGAACGCAGCATGATAGTTATTACCACCCTGCTCATACTCACAGATTCATCCTATCAGCATATCTCGACTATTTCTGTATTCTGACTTTGTTGCATTACCCCATCATTTCCCCCCTTCTCACCAGGACTGCCAACCCCCTTTTCCACTGTCCTCAAATATCATCCATCTCTGTCTTTTCATCCTGCCTTTAATTTATCTTCCTTCTCTGAGGCATGGAGACATTCGCCTTTTCTGTCCTTGAGTGACAGCATGTCACTTCGTCAATGCTTCCCTTCCATCGCCAATCCATTTCTCTTCCTTATGCCTTTCTCAACTTCCTCAAACCTATAGGCCGAATCTTTATCAGTCCTGATTTTTTTTCTTCCCTGACCTTAATGTTAGATTTCTGAGGCCCATGTATTAATACACATTTATTCAGTCCACCATTTTCTCAGTGCGTTTGTCCCTGTGTTATTATTCATTCTTAATTTTGTCTGCACATCTCCCCAGACTACCCCTGTCGTAGAAACACACCATTAAGTCTCAAAAAGACTGTGAGGATTTTTAATTACAAGTCCCTGACACTCTGACATTATGAATTAATGTAATTACCTGCAGCGTTCTCCCCTCCTTTAACCCAGAGAGAATTTAAATCAGCCCAGACGGCAAGTAATGGAGTCGTCTGATTAGAATCTACACATGCATCATCTGTGTGTATGTTCAGAATCAGATTATGCATACATTATATACATGATGTGTATATAACGTATGTGTGTGTGTGTGTATATGTATGTGTGTATATATAAATATGTATATATATCTATAGGTATATATATATATATATATATATATATACATATATACAACGCCCTCCTGCCTCTCAATAGAAATGGTTGATCTTATATAAATTTGGATAAATACTTAATCCATATTATTTACCCAGTTGAACTAAACACAAATGGTGTGGTTGGTGTGATTCACACACATCTACCTGTTGCTAAAGTCTCATAATGAGGAGTATTTGAATTCATATGAATATATATATAGATATCTATAAAGGAGGACCATTTCATTGCTGTGTTTTATTTCACCTCGATGTAAAACAGCACCATGTTTTTCTTCTGTGACCAGTGTCTGTTCAGAGTAAACCAACAGTATAGAAATGACTCTGGTCACCACGGTGGCCTCGTGTCACAGTGGCAGGTCTTACATGGCACAGTGCCTTTCAGTTAGACTATTGATGAATTGATTTGTGCATTAGAGAGTCAAGTCCAGCGTTTACACATCATCCAAAATGCTGGACATCACAGATCAAGCGCTGTAAAAAGTTATCGATCCATTTTGACTTATGTTTAGTCTGAAGGAGACCAAATACGCTCCTTCCTTTAACCTTCACTTTAATATAACACATAACTGATCGTTTTTATAAAATCACAGCTTTTTATAATCTGTGTAAGAATTTTCAAAATTGCTTTTTTAGCCGTCATTGAGGTTTATTGTTACTTTGTGACATAATTTACTATAAGGCAGTGGTTCTCAAACTGTGGTACGCATACCACTAGTTATATGCGGGGGAAATCCATATTTTCACTTTTACATTTTCAATTGAATGAATCTGAAACATACCATTCCCAATTAAAACAACATTTATGTTGTATTAATGTGTTAACACATGTGCCACACACAGATTATGAAATAGGATGTCTGGTCTTTTGATTTATTTACTTTTTTTTTGCTGCAATGCAAGTCTGTTGCTCACGTATAAGCACAGGCAGCACAGAATCATTGGATCACTCGCAAGTTGAACGTGGAACGAGCAGGGGAATTCTGATGTTGGTAATTATGGTGGTACTCAGAGAGATCAGTGTTTTCTCAGGTGGTAGAGTATAAACAGTTTGAGAAACATTGTTATAAGGTGTTTTTTAAGTGGACTGTAAATAAATACAGTCAGCGTTTTTAAAGCTTCGACTTCCACAAATATAATTCACAAGGTCCAAAGCTGTTTGGACTTAAAAAGTCTTAAGAACACCTTTATTTGTCTTGCAATAGTAATATCTGCGACAATATTTGTACAAAGAATAATTGTATATTATTATGCGATGTCTGTTCTGGAATCCAGTCGTGGACCACATTGGATGGTTTGTGGGGCCAGATTCAGCCTGCGGGCCATCATTTGGTCATTGCTGCCACATGCCACTCATTTTGTTGAGCATTTAAGATTATTCAAATTAATCTGTGGTAACAATGAGACCACATTATGAGACTACCGCAGTGGACAGCATTTGTCACAACTGACCACTTGACAGCCTTTGGGTCTTGTCAGTGTTGCTAAGGGCGACAGGCTGCTGACGCCTGTGTGGTGTGTTGTTTCATGAATGAGCTGATGAAATTAACCTCTGCCTGCAGTGTCATCCTCTGAATCCAACGCTGTCTGCATACCATTACACACTGCACGTCTTGGTTAACACTTGCATCATACTGGGCCACAGATAAAGTTGTGTTGAACTCTGTCCCTCACACACACACACACACACACACACACACACACCCACACCCACACCCACACCATCTCACACCGAGTCGATTGTCTCTGGAGCTAGATGTGACGACTGAGTCAGAAGATGCGAGAGCTAAAGCCCAAACAGGTCATGATGTTACATCATTAACTCCAGTACACAGTTACCTGTCTGACTCAGACTGGCTCTGTTAAGACCTGGTCCAGTTCATTGTCTCCGAGGATCATAGTTTGACGGTGGGACAGGTCTATATGTGCATCTATTCCACCTGTTACCTTTTCCATTTTCAAGCACTCTGATGTGTCTGTAGCAGCTGATCATTACCCTGTATTTGGTTGATTAAGAGCAGGAAAATGTATCCTTCCGTCAACCTCCCCTTGTCTCCTCTTTAACAAACTTCCTCCACCTCCTCCTCCACTCTGTGATAGCCAGCTTCCTCAGCATCCAGCATCATCTGCTGCATGTTCCTGGCGTTCTCCGTGGTGTCCTCCTCTGCCTCATTATCCTATCCCTGGACCCTGACTTGCACAGTAATAGGCTTTGTGTTTGTCTCCTCCATGTAATTGTCTTCACTCTACTTTGTACTCTACTTTTTACTCTACATTGTCCTCTTCACTGCTTTGTACCTTGTTTGTGTTTTTCTTCCTTCTCTTCTCTGCCTCGGTTTTCCCTCAAGGACGACAGTGGGTCACGGTTATTGTTCTTACGCCAAGCATCGCTGTCAACAGTGCTCTGCGTCACTCTTGGTTTGTGCGTGTGTTTCCTCAGCACTGCAGTTTTTATCACAACAGAACCTTGAAATATGGTGCGCTCACACGTTTCACACCCCTGCAGGTATTTTATATTCTGTTCTGGATATAACTGTAGGTGCATCAGTAAAATATTGTTCAATAAATCAGGTTTAGAAATGTTGACTTTAAATTATTTACTAGAGTATTTATAAAAACCATTTGAGGAACTAGTTACTAGTAGTAACTAATAATTTCCCATCAACAAATGTTGTTTATTGAAACATGTAAATACACATGCACACACAGACACACACTATCATCTCTTCATTGTATGTATCTAATAGGGTTAGAGTTTATGGTTTCCATTAAGTCAGTGTTGACGACATTTAAAAAAAAACATTGGCGTTTTAATTTAAATTTTTACAGTAATCTTATGCTCCAATAATGGAGCAGGTCATACAGTGGCAGCAGTGGTTTACACTCCGGTCTTACTGCAAAAAGATACCTGGTTACTAGGTCCAATCCCTGGTCTTTATGGAGTTTTTCACGTCCCCCCTGTGTCTTTGTGTTTGTGTGTGTCTTTGTGTGTATGAGGCGGGTTACCACTTCACTGATTAAGTTAATTTTAGTAATTTTCTGACTGATTTGTGTGGGTACTCATTTAGTCGGTTTAGGTAAGTAGTATTTATTGTACTGTGTTTGTAGCTGTTTAGGTCACAGGTTTCCACTACTGACGTCCACTCAGTTATTTCTTCTTCTCTTCACATCATCATATGATAAAATCATTTGGCTAGGTTTGGTGATGACATACCTTTTTTGTGGTTTTTTGGGGGGTGGAGGGGTTTACTTTTTACTTTTTAAAACTCACTTAACGTACAAACTTTGGCTTTGAGTCTGAGTAGATTTTAAGCTTCAGCCACTCATTTATCTTGTGTCTTAACATGACTCCAACTTGCAGACACCTTTTCCCATCTTTTGCTTTTGTTTCATCCCCCCACAGTTGGCCCTGGAAGACCCAGTGCACAGCGTTTCTCTGCAGCAGTTTGTCTACGAGAAACTGAAGGCACAGCAGGCTTTAATAGGGGACCAGAGCTTCGGGGTCCTGATGGAGACCGTGGACACGGAACTGGTCAGGCAGCTGCAGGAGTTCCTCCAAGGGCTCTAAGTAATGTGTACAGTCGTCACTACCTTACACAAACATTGTTGCCTAATCCTTTGTCCCTGAGTTGTTTTTTTTTCAAAGACTTTCTGAAAAGGCTAACAGTCTGCCTGAAGTGTGGGCTTCTTATCCAAACCTTCACATCCTCTGTCCATGCTATGCCTTATCTATATTCAGACCTAGCCTTGGTCACTGCCCTATGCTACCACATCACCATTGTTTCTCAGTTGTTGTTTTTCTTTTTTAAACAAACAACAGTGTACTTGAGTGTTTAATGATGTTGAATTAGCCACACCCAACGCATCATACTAGAGCTTCAACTCATTTTCCTCGTAGTTTCTTCTCCTTCTGTGGTTCAGAATGGGTGGATCGTTGTAGATACAAGGGAAGGAGTCGCTGACCTTTTTCTACAGTAGAGCCGATGCGGTGTAGCAAACAGAAGTGAGAGATGACACCTGAAGGACCTAAATCAGTGTTTACAGAATCTATTCTTAAAAGAAAAACAGAAGAAAATGTAATTTTGTATGTAAAGTATAGAAGATAAACTGCATGATTATGTTTGACTTTTCTAGTTTGTTTGACCCTTTATTTCTCTTTCCTTTTATAAAAACAGTCGTTGTAACCAGAGATGAAGTTGAAGAAACTACTGAAAGAACTTCTCTTTCTTTTTGACTCGCGTTGGAGGGAACATGTTTTGACGTTGTGTTTTTGTTATTGTTTGACTAGTGCTGAACCACAGTTACATGTAAATACATACTGCTGCTAATCGATCGTGTGTTGGAGCACTTTATAACCAAAAACAAAACCAAACAAAAAAACAAATAAAAAACTGTTTCATGTTTTTTCATCTTTGGTGAATCTTCACACATCATCACAGTTAAAAACACATTGATGTTGTTAAAGTGTTTTTATGTTATGTTTTATGCGTCTCAGTGCTTTTTCCAACAACAGGAAGTCTGACTTGGGATGTCCGGCTATGCGGTGTCCTTTGATGAATTTTGAATTTTGTGAATGCAACCTCTGTAGCCATTTTCAATCACTATCCTTCACTACTGTTAGACGAAGCTTTGTTTCTGTTCTGCTGCTCTGCTGTTTTTCCCTCATTTGACTGATTTTCTTTTCTATCATGGGAGTAGTAGTGAAGCCGTCGTCTATTGATTTGAAAGATTTTCTCCATAGGTTTTCTCAGAACCACTGATTTTGTGGATGTTTGGAAGCACATTGAAGCTCAATTGCTTTGAGTCTTTAGATATGGAACTCTTATATAAGTGGTTTTCGATTGACACTTTAACAGCTACTGCTTTAGAACTCCCCTGAACTCTGGCACAATTTTTAAAAAAATGTAATTAATTTGACCTCCCATACTCAACAATGACTAGCACAACATTGGCCCCACTCCCCACTGTGAGAACCATTGTCTTTTTTCTAGTTTCACACATAGTCTGGTCGTCAGGACACAATGTTATATTCATTTCAGATACAAAGAAATTTACAATTACTTTGTCATCATCATCAGTTCTTCTAAAACCTATGGATTCACGTGGTTCACCAGGTCAGTTGTCCTCTGTGGATTAGAGAAAATCCTGACACTGGCTCTTGACACTGTGACAGAGTTGAAGAGCAGCCAGAATTAGAGCCTTATGCTTTCAGCCTTATCTACCATTGAAACTCACCCTAACAATCATTTCACTCTTCTTTTTTTTCATTTCTTAAATATTTGAAAAAGTTGAATTTGTTTGCTTGATTCTGTTGAAAAAGTACCATTTTGACATTTTCAGAAAAAGATAATGAAAGGTTTTGGCTTCTTTTTGGTTTAAACCTTTTTATGGGGTTTTCCAAAGCCTTCAATAAAATGCAGTTATCATGCAACTCTTCCTGTGGTTTTTTTTACAATCAATCAAAATGTATGACATGGGGAAGAAAGGTTTGCAAGAATATTTGCAGTTCTAATCTTCATGGTGCTGACTTTTGTGATGTATGTGTTTGGCAGTAAGCTGATGACTACATAGTGAAATGTGTGTTTATTGAACTGAGAAATAATAACAGGGACCCAATTGCAATAATTTAACAAAATGGAAAGACGATAGCGACAGAAGCCTGTGGTGATGAACAAAAGTGATTTGGGCAAATGGAAATGTAAGTTATGTCTTACGTAGGTGTAAGGCAGTGCGTTGTGGAGGCTGATGGGAAGGCAATTAGTCGACACATTTATAGATTAAAACACCAGACACAACTTAGCTCTCTCCACTGCCTCCTTCAAACCAGTGGGATTGGAGGAATTAAATTGATCATGAATCATTTTGACTTCTTACGCCTGAATCCTTCAAAGTGAGTTGAGAAAGAAAATGGAAAAGAATTTGGATTGGTGTAGTGGAAAGAGTCCGCAATTAGCCACGTGCACAATTAGGACACCTGAACCAATTATAAACGTTGGTCCATACCCACGGCTGCAGCTATTGATTATTGCTGTAATCATTCATGGTTGTCTTCACCTCAATTTGACGAAGGTTTGTTTTTAGTCAGTTTAGATGGAAAACGTGTGTATTTATACAATATTTATACAAATATTAAAGTATATATTTACATATTCATTTATATATATTTGTGTATATATGTGCAGTATATATTTGAGTATATATTTACACATGTATATACTACTGTGTGTAAAAATTCCTAGACATTTTCCAACAAACTGTTGTACTTGTAACAGAATTATCCTTTCCCTTTAATGATAGCTAATATACATGCCCTTCAACCCCCCCCTTTCTTCACCCCCCATGCATATATTGTAAATATGTGTTTATTTGGCAGAAAGATACATTTTAATTAAAATATATATATAACTTTTTGTTTTGCTTGAAACTAAAAAAAAGAAAAACACATTCTTTAAGTTTCAACATTAAGTTTCCCAAAATATATTTCTTTTCACCAAAGAACTAAAAAGCAACAGTCCATTTACTTTAAGTGATCAAAAAAAGGAAGAAAAAATGATGCCTTTGGCGAATCATGAGGGGATTGAATTATAGAGTGGAAAGATGTGATTAAGGATTCTGCACTCACACTCACCTGCGTTGTCACCACCACCACACACAGTATTAATCCACAGGGACTGGGTCATCTTTGTTCTCCCACAGTATCTCTCCTCCTGCACTAACTGTGGAGTCATTTGTAGAATGATAAAGCAGACCTCAGGTGATGTTTTCTGTTAATTATCCCATAGAATGGATGACAGTGAAGAGCAGGAGGATTAGTTCCACTCTGACTTAACTTCATTATCCTCCAGCAACGTGTTCATCGCTCTAAAAAAGCGCTAATGTTCCTTTTCTTTGTCTACAATTAAAGTCATGGAAACACAAAGATAATCTGGATTAAATTACTTTTTAATCATTTGGTGTTATAAGTCCACAGTGATTATTTTTATTTTGGCAGTACTGGTCTGATATGGCATCAGGTCCTCTGCACATACCAGGGGTCGTCAACATGTGGCTCCTAAGTAAGAACATATTTCACACTAAATTGTCAGTTTGCTTGTTAACAGCAAAACAGCACAGCACTGAAGATCAAGTGTATAATTTCTACCTCAGGTGTCTGTGGGTGATCAAATGAGTGTGAAATACTAAATGATGAATACTACTGTGTTAAGATTTATCTTTGCCTGCATGTAGATTTATGGCATATAACACTGTTACTCTGTTACAGGTTAAGAAAAAAAAAAATCATATCTTCACCTCTTCTCCTTATGTGAATGATAAAAATCTGATATTAATAATAATATAATAATATCAAAATATTATGTTAAATACAATACAACATAAACTAATCCCTCAACAGACGCCACTATCCATATTTAGAACTTTGATGCTTTTATAAATCTAGTGCTTTGACTTGAGGTCACATTAGGTACTGAACACAACACTGTTGAGTAAAGAACAATTTCAAGTTGCATTGCAATTGTTATGAAATTCCAAAGTACTGAGGTACTTCAAGATACAATTCTAATCCGCTCCACAACAGCACTCATATGTCAATCCGCTTGTATCCCCATTGCATTTTTCCCGTTAAAAATAACAAAAATCGAATTAATTTTTTATCCCTCGATAAATATACTGTAAATTAAGCTCCTATCTGAACAACAGAAACATAGATATAAACAAATATATTGATAATATAAAATAATAATACTTAAGAAAACATTTTATATTATTGTTATAAAAATGGGTAAAATAACCAAGCGAGTGGAAAAATAGAGCTGTGTCGAGCACTCGTAACTCGATGTTTCTTCGTATTACAAGACAAAATCTTGCAATAGTTGCAGACTCCTAACTTGGAATACTGGTATTCCAAGTACGGCTGTATAGTCACCAGTCTCGTTTCCACTGTTTCTATTGTTACAGCCACAGCCCTCTGTTGTCCTATAGTCAGTTCTCAGTGACCTTGAATAATTATCGCCAACTCTCTCCTGTTGGAAAAGATGAATGGATATTTGGATGTATTGATGAGGGATGGAGAGATCAAAACATGGATGGATAGATGGATGTCAGAAAGATTTTTTTCCATTACCATCTGTCAGAAATCAGTAAAAATAGACAGTTTCCCATCATGCACTGGGACATAATCAGATTAGACCCAAAGGAGCAGCAACATAGTGCAAATCAGACAATTTTATAATAAAATATAATTCAGTTTTGTCACATTTTCAAGAATCTGTTTTTATAAATACCTGTGACAGTTTACCACTTACGAGGTGACGGCTGTTTAATGTTGTTTTCTTTCTAGACTCATCGATTTCCTGGCCACTGCTCTTCTCACTCTCTGCCTCTTCTCACAGGTAAATACACTCATGTCACATGACGACGTTGTCAGATCAAGGCGATTGAGTCTTTGCTAAATAATGGAGGTGGCTACACAGACTGGATCCATGCTCTGTCTTTGACCCTGTGTGGGGGTCTCAGTAAAGTCAAATGTCTCATTTGTCTTTTTATGTAAAAAAAAAACTGCAGATGTGTCTTTTTTCTACATCCACAAAACGGTCGGTCGGCTTCATTAACAGAAAGATTCAGTACATTGCCTCTGTTTGCTCAGAGTTATTAAAACATTAAAGGAAGTTTTTATACAACTGTGATATAGATTTATGAGTTTGTTCATGGTGAAGAAAATGTGTCATATATATATATATATATGTATATATATACATATATATATATATATATGACACATTTTCTTCACCTTATTATTATTTATTATTATAAACTATTTAATTTTTTTCCTTACCTTAACAGCACATTTGTCACGTCATGTGTGAATGAATGATGTTGGTCATTTCTTGCTGTGGAAACCTGTCAATTGGACCCGAGGCTCCAAACCTTCATGATTATAATGTGTTTATATGAGAGTGTGTTCCTGACATAGCCTTACTTGTGGGGACAGTTTTTGTGTGAATACCACAGCTGTGAAGGCAATTTGTGTTTGCGAAGACCCCCCTGAGTGGGTGGGTGGGGGGCAGAGTTTCAGTTTGGATATGATTTAGGGTTTAGTTAGACTCAGTGGGATTATTACTAGAGCATGTGGTAGTTAAGGGTATAGCTAAACATGTATGTCGTGAAGTTATCGCTAAGTATAAAAACAGTATGTGTGTGTGGTGTGGGAGTGGGGGTGTATTTGACTTTTTAATAGCTGTTACTAACGAATGAATAAGAAAAATGTTCTGATTAAATTGGTACAGTTTAAGATGGATGCCTTCCTCTGGTAATTGAGGTGTGTGTATGGAGGCTATCGGTTATTAAGTCAATAACACTGCATTAATGTGAGCTAAAGAAAAAGAGAGAGAGAGAGATAGAGAGAGATGTGCACGAAATTAATGGACTTTAATTCCTTCTTAATTTAGCCACATTTGTTTGGAAATGCAAACTATGAAATTATATTATTAAATGACCTCTCAAAATATCATTACAAATGTTATGCAACACAAACAGGACACTGTTAGCTCAGAAAAAAGTAATAAGAATGTAAACCCGACCATTTCTTATGTTATGTTTTTTTAAAATGCTAAAAATCCTTATAAACATATACAAGCTCATCGTGTTTATGTTGAACCACCTTAGTTTGTTGGTTTGTTTTGCACCACAGCTTAATGTGTTAAAACCATGTTGTTTCCTTCTTGAAACTGAATGGAAACAATAATGATGAATAGTGTTTGTCGCTTTATTTTATTAGTTTAGATGTCGAAATTGATTAGTGATCTTGTTGAACTTGATTAGTGATCTGGTTGAACTGGATTGGTGATCGCGTTGAACTTGATTAGTGATCCGGTTTAACTTGATTAGTGATCGGGTTGAACTTGATTAGTGATCCAGCTGAACTTGATTAGTGATCTGGTTGAACTTGATTAGTGATCTGGTTGAACTTGATTAGTGATCTGGTTGATAGTGATCTGTGAACTTGATTAGTGATCTGGTTGAACTTGATTAGTGATCTGGTTGAACTTGATTAGTGATCTGGTTGAACTTGATTAGTGATCTGGTTGAACTTGATTGGTGATCTGGTCTACAGTGTAAGAAGTCAGCAGTGCCAGCGTTTGGATGTTTCCCTGGAAAGTCTGAGAGACACTCGGTGAAATGTCTTTCAGTTCTGAATGAACAAACGCCTCCATTTACCACCACCAGTGAAGTGTGTCAGTGATAAGAGAACAGATAAATAAATAAATAAATAGTTGTCATCCTAATTTCTTCAGGAATGGCGATGAGAGCACGGAAAACGGAGACGTTCTCTGGATCTATTTCTCAGCCTAATGCACGGTTTTATTATGCGGCCGGCTGGGTAATCAGACAGGTGGGCACAGTCTGTTCCTCTGGTAATAATGTGCTCTCCTC